TTTATCATGGACCATTGGCCAAAAGATGTTGGAATACGCGCTATTCATTTCGTCATACCGTCGTTGTACGTCGATCAAACTGATTTGGAACAGTATGATCAAGTGTCAGAAGGAAAATACACCGTTGGTTTGGGCCAAAAGCAAATGGGATTTTGCACAGACCTCGAAGACGTGAACTCACTGTGCCTGACGGCAGTCAGTCAGCTAATAGAAAACAACGGCATTAGCTATTCGGACATAGGTCGCCTGGAGGTAGGCACCGAGACCATAATCGACAAGTCTAAAAGCGTGAAAACGGTTTTAATGAAGTTGTTTGAGCCGAGTGGCAATTTCCAGGTCGAGGGTATCGACACGACGAACGCCTGTTACGGGGGGACGGCGGCCTTGTTCAACGCCCTGTCTTGGATGGAGTCGAGCGCGTGGGACGGTAGGCTAGCCGTTGTAGTGGCGGCTGACATTGCTATCTACGCCAAAGGCAACGCTCGACCTACGGGTGGCGCCGGTGCCGTCGCTATGTTGATAGGACCGAACGCTTCGTTGGTGATCGAGAGGGGTCTCCGAGGCACGTACATGAACCACGCGTACGATTTCTTCAAGCCCGACTTGACGTCCGAGTACCCAGTGGTGGACGGTAAACTGTCCATCGAGTGTTACCTGAACGCCCTGGACCAATGCTACAAGTCCTATCTGAGCAAGTGCGATGGCGGCGGCGCCAACGTCGACCTGAACGGGTTCGATTCGTTCGTGTTTCACACGCCGTACTGCAAACTGGTGCAGAAGTCCCTGGCCCGGTTGTACCTGAATGATTTCGTGAACAGCGACGCCAAGGAGAAGGACTACCCGGGCTTGGGACAGTACAAGGATGTGCACTTGCCATCCACGTTTTTCGATCGGGACATTGAGAAGACGTTCATGGAGCGCAGCAAGACCGTTTATGAGGACAAGACCAAGCCGTCGCTGTTGCTAGCGTCACGCGTCGGAAACATGTACACGGCGTCCGTGTACAGCGGACTGGTATCGTATCTGGTGTCGTTGCCACCTGAACACCTACCTGGCAAGAAAATTGGCGTGTTCTCTTACGGTTCCGGTTTGGCGTCGTCTATGTTCTCGATCAGGGTCGTTGACAACGATTTGCAGAGTCTGATAGGCAATATGAAGAAGGGCATGGACCGCCTGGAGGAACGGAAACGCCTCACACCTGAACAGTTCACGGAAGTGTTAGACGTCCGGCAAAAGTCTTTACACCAAGCGCCCTACACTCCGGTCAGCAACAAGGACCAGCTGTTCCCTGGAACGTGGTACTTGTCCAGTATCGATGAAATGCACAGACGATATTACGAGAGAAAAGAATAGTGGTCGTCGTAAAACGTCTATATAGCTATAATATAATACGTATTTATATTTCTTCGGTGAAAATGTATTATTTATCGGTGGCCGATAAATATATAAATAGTGTCATTTCCTGTACATCAAGCGAATAATGATTAGTGTTGGTACTTTTTAAAATGCATAGTTAATTTTAAGTGAAATTCTTTGTACTCGTTTAGATATCGTATTGGTTTATATTTTTTTTTATACATAATATGCATGTATATATTATATATAGAGGATTTATGTATTTATTTTGCATTAATATGGTATTTTCCATTATTATTATACTCTTGGTGTGTGGGTTTTTTCGACAATAATTTTAATAATTTTAAGTCGTTGTTGAAGTGGTGCTGCTGATTGTTAATTTTTTTTAAAATTATAGACATGACAAATTTAATATTTTTCTTTTAATATTGTAAATTATGCCTTATTTAAAAGATTATTCACAGGTTTAAAAATTAAGTACATTTATATATTTTCATCAAAATGTTAAATAAATATATTTTAGCGGGCAAACATTTTGATTTTAAATTTGTATTAATTACGGTCTTTTTTATCTTTATAATTCCATGAAAAAATAAATAAATTTGATTGTATTAAATGAAAGTACATACCTACCTAAAAAATAAATTTTATTACCATAGGTATCTAATGAATCATGATACATTTTAATACAAGCAATAAGCATACAGAATGTTCAAATATTAGGCAAAACTTGGTTTGTTAAAGATATTTTTTGAATAAATTATTCAATTAAAATTTAAAACTTAAGTGTACTGTACGTGGTATTATAATATATGTTTTGGTTTACTGCAAATATGTAATTAATTGAGAAATATAATTATTTTCGATGTTTAATAGATTTAAAACTATACGAATAATGGGACGATTGCTAAATCTGTAACATTTAAACTTCTTATTGGTCATAACTCATAAGTTATAGTAGTCCCAGTCAGTTATTGTATAAACTATAACTTTATATTGTGAACCAAATATTTTACTTTTTTTAATTGAAAGTACTGCTGGTAAATGTTTTATTCAATGGTGCATGTATCTATTGCTCTTTTTATCGGGAACACTAGAGACAAAAAAATATTCTTTTATATTTTGCAGCAATATAGTACCAAACTTCAAAGCTATACTTTTGCTTGCGGAAACATGCTCTTAGTAGTACTTAAGATTTTTGATGGCTTAATGATTTCAAAAATGTTATGTACATGTTAATTTATACTAAATATGATCATAATATGATGACTATGACAATAATAATAATGACTATCATAAGTACTTAATATTTTATGGTTATATCATTTAATTGAATTTTATAGTTTAGAAGGTACATGAAATATTAGTAAAATATGTATTAATAACTTATACAAAATCAAATTATATCGTAATTGTCTTGTAAAATTATAATTGCAATACATTTTAATCTTGAATTTCAGCGAAAATTTTAGTTTTTCACTGTATTTTGTTATTTTATTTTAAGGGTGTTTTAATATTATTTGTTTTCAAATTCCGTATGCGTCATCGAGTAGAACCACTACCTAATACATAATTCATATACTATATGACATATAGGATCAGAGTGAGAGTTAAAAAAAAATCCACAGTATAAAAATTAAAACAATGGTGGGGCAAGCGCATTCAATTTAATTAGATATAAATAATTTATAAGAATAATTTTATAAATTTTATAGTAATAATATCACCTAGGTAAATTGAAAATAAAAATATAAGAAATAATATTAATTGGATGTTAAAAATTGTAACACCTAACTATGTTAGACATTTGATATAAATCAAAATAATAAATGGGATGATTATCGGTCCGATGACATCGGATGTGGTATCTTATACCGAAATTTAAACAAATAACAAATAATTGGTCAGTACATCTTGATCGTGTATACTATTTAATATTGGTTCGATTAGAAATACTGTAAAAAAGCTGAAAGCCTTATCATTATTTAGTAGTTTTTTCCCGTAATTTGGTTTAGCGATGTATCGATGTATAATATTATTATTGATTATTATTCAACATTTTAATATTTAATGTTGGTGGTTTCTCTATATAGCTTGAAACTAAGGAACATTTGAATCCGTATGCCATTTACCTGCTTATTCAATTTAGGTATGGGCTTGAAATTGATTTCATGATTATTTTACCATTGCATTAGCCATTGGGTACCTTATTTTTTTTCATTTTTTAACCGACCACGTCACGGGAATTACTCTCGCAATACTTCTGCGACATCGCCAGACATCCTTTACTAACCGGGGAAAGGATTTTTAACTATTAATAATTTTTAATATTTATTACTGTTTTTAGACTTAAGTCTAAGCTGGTTTTGCTACTACAACACTGCAATAGCAAACATGCAAAAACAGTTGGTATATAGGAAGTATAAATAAATTATAGTTACAATTCGTATTGATATAAATATTTTATTTTAGTATTAAAATTATTAATAAATGAACTATGAATTATATAAATCTTTGATTATTTACATGATAGTTGATAGTTTATATATAAGATGTATGGTATTCAAATGTTTAGAAAAAAGGATAATATGGTATAAAAAAAATATCTATAACCTATGTGTTAAGTAAACTCTACAAGTAGGTACGTTTGATAAAACTGAAACTTAGTTCTAGTTTATTCGTAATTGATTCTACAAGGTTAAAAAATGTAATTTAGAATAAAATATTATCATATAATTATTTCGAGTGTGGCTCTAGTTATAATTATGCATTATATTAGCACGTGTTACAAGTTGAATAAATTAACAAACAGGAATTAAATATTTGTTAACAGTTGGTAGCATCTTATCCGTTCATTTCCAAGACGTTACGGGACGCTGGTCGCACGTGTATCCCGAGCACGAGTCACTGTTGCACAGCTCAACTACAAAAAAACGGCACCGGTTACGACGACCTCAACGATTTACTGGCGGATCCAACGGATTTGGAATTCACTATAGGTTTTTAAAAAACATTTATACGATACCTAATACAGTACCTAACGCACCAAAACCCAGAAGTTATCTTCTAGTAATATTTTAGAATGCCTATTTTTTTACTCCGAAGTTGTTTTGCTATTCTAATGATTTTTTTAATATTGGCAAGATCTACATCCATACTTTAATTTAGTCTTAGTGTATCTCAGTTCACTGGAAAATCGGCGTCGTGCACAAAACTAATCTCGAAACTTTCCTGATATCTCTAAGAAAGTAAGAACAATTTGAATTTTTCACAAAATCGGCCAAGTAGTTTTTGAGTATATAAGCTACAAACGTACATTCAACTCTCATATCTATTTTAAGCTATACATTTTTTAAATTAAAAATACATCCGTAGCAGCTATATGGTCATTGGATTTTTCAGAAGGTTTCTTTATGTGAGACCAAAAACACGACGATTTGATTCATGCTTGTACCTAGCTTATTTGTCCATGCAATCATTAATATATATTTAAAAAAAGACTAATTTCTTCTACCTCCATCATAACTTGTTAGATGTAACCAATGGCAACCATGAATGAACAAATACATTTTTGATATCCATCGTAAATCTAAAGATTCTTGTGTGAATGTGTCTCAATTTGGCGTTACTGCAAAACTAGAATAATGCTAGCAGGAAGTATTTACCCGGACATGTGTGAAAAAGTTAAAATAATGAAAATTGGCAAACCTAATCATCAAGGTTATCAATTCATCATCAATTATTCATACATCAATTCGTATTTTTAAATCGTGGTTTTATTTTCATATTATCCATTGAAGAATGGAAAGAGAATATTTAAATTGAAAATAATGTTATTTAATTATTTTAGAAATCTGACTTATATTTGTCACTTGCATTTTTGTTACTATAATAATGAGAATTTGAGCTACACTGAGTCCTGGCTTATTCTTATTCTTAAATACTTAACACATGATGCGTGTATAATACTTAATAAGTATTTTTATGTTTCCCGTTTTTGAACCCCTCAAATGAGTAACAACTTCCTGTGCATACTATTATGAACTATTACGTTTGATTTCATGCACATATAGATTTGTTGAAGATCGAGGATCCCGGTTCATTCGAAAAGGAGACTTGGCTACTGGACGAAAATGAGAAACGAAATACAATTCCCGAACTCAAAGAAGCCGGTAACGAGTTTTACCACCAAGGTAAATACAAAGAAGCTGAAGAAAAATACATGTTGGCTCTCGGATTCTTGGAACAAATCATGATGAAGTAATTATACCTGATTAGTTATAATAAAGTAATTATTGTTATCAAAACTATTTCGCCTTTGTGTTTTTTTTTAATTTTTATAATTTATATAGTATGTACATCGTTACCTTTGTTTTATTGCTTCGTTTGGCCTTTTTTGGTGAAAACATCCATATATTTTAAAGAATTCTAACTAAATAATAAATATTTAGCTTGTAACTCATATTAAACGATGTAACTAAATACTAATAGACATTATTATTCTCTCGAAGACTCAAACCACGTGAAAAGGAATGGGATGAATTGAACAAAATAAAAACTCCACTGTTACTGAATTTGGCTCAATGCAAGCTTATTTCCAAGGATTATTACCAGGTCATAGAACACTGTACATCAATTTTGGACGACGATCCTGGTACATACGTTTTGATGTCTAATATAATTAAGCGTATCAATTCCTAAACATAGTATTATTTTAACTGTTGTTTATTCTCTTTCAGACAACGTCAAAGCATTATTCAGGCGTGGAAAAGCAAATATATCAGTGTGGAAAATGGACGAAGCCAGAGAAGATTTAAAACATCTTTCAACTCTGGATCCTAGTATGCAGGTTTCAGTCAACCGATTGCTCTGTCAAATTAACGAAGCATTGAAGATAAAAGACGATGAAGATAGACAAAAATTAAGGGGAAAACTATTCTGAAAGCTGATTTTTTTTTAATATTAATTTATGATATTAATGTTAGAAATGTATTATATTCATTCGGACTGCATTTAATTGGACAAATGACACATGGATTTATTATTCGTGTTTTAGGTAATCGTAAAAGCATAATATAATGAATTTATAAATTCTACATTTTTCCGTCAGTCAATATTATAGGTATATAGTTTTATATGAGGTTGTCTATATTATTATACAATGACCTTTTATCTTTGTTTAAAATATCAGTTACTTCAATGTTTTATTTTTTTTTTTATAATTTACAAATATTAAATATTGAAAAATCTATACATTGTTTAGAACAACGTCAGTTTAACATTAATTGTTATCTCATTGGTGGTTGTTTCGAAACTTCTTTTTAAATTTTCGTTATTTTTAGCCAAACTTTAAAAATGTAGTGCTTACGCATAACCAATTACAACATATATGATGAAAATGTTAATCTAGTGGTGCCGTGATAAGGTTTTTATACTTAATTTTTACAATATAATTATAACCAGATTAAGTTAATTATAGTTGGTACTAATAACTTCTTTAATATTTCACCTGTCACGGAAAACACTTGTGTAACGAGACTGCATTTACACTTTCTTACTAAAAAGTTTAATGTGTCAAAATACTTACCTAGAAATTAGGCTTCAAAATGAGAAATGTGAAGACAGTTTTGCTGTAGTTTCCGTGGCCCATGTCTTAAAATCTAAGTATGTGAAGGCAGATAAAATATCTTGGAAGAAGTCTTCTTTGCATAATCTTATACCTGTATTATATCCATGTAGGAAATAATAGAATCTTTAAATTAAGTTATCAATAGGTAAATATATATTTTCTTATAGATTTTATTTTCTTATATTATATATTATATTTAGAATTTTATCATATAATATTTATTTTCAAAGAAATCGCTAAATTTATGTTTTAAATTTAAAATGACCGTAGAAGCCGGCAACGTAGACTCGAGTGGGCCCAAAATACGATCTTGCAGACTGAAGAGTAGTGTATGTTAGGTACATTTTTATTTCCATTTCGTCTGATATATTTCACGGAAAGCTCTTAAACGCTGATGTTATAGATGTTAACTCTAACCGTGAAACACTACTTAAATTTGTCAATTCCGATTGTTAACAACAAATAGTTTAATTATTTCTACACAATTTATATTTATAATTTTTACAATAACGGAAAAGTGATAATAAAACCATTATTATGAATTATGATATTTATAAGTACCTACCCATCTATATACTTATCATTAATTTATGTTTAGAGTGGTGAATATTACCAAACCCCATCTTAATATGTTATTTTCATAAATTGTTACAAAAGTGTATTTCTATCTAATAGAAAATCTGTTTTCATGTAAACATTATACAGTTAATATTATTTTAAATATTTTGTACGATTTTCTTGTTTAATCTTATACGTATTCTAAAATATTGTTTAATTACTTGAATTTGTAATGGTATATATAAATAAATATATAGAAGTTTATTTTGTTATAAGAACATTTGTTTTTCATTTGTCTACTTTCGTCCTCAGCAGGGTTTCCAGGGCAGCGTAAGTCCTTTTTGCTATTCGAATCGTAAAACAACTATCTACCTGCTAACCTAACCCTGGTGAGCCGATCATCGTGTTCTGGGCCAGGGTACTTGGATTAAAAATTATTTGATAGCAGTACACTGCGTGTCTGTGTTGTTTGGTGTCATATTACGATTTTGGCTACATTAAGTAATGTAGGTACATGAGTTAATTTATATTTTATTTGTATGAAATTTCTTTTAATAATTTGTATTTAATTAATAATATTGTTATGTACAAAATACATGCTACATGCATGGCGTTTTGATTGCACTTATAAAACAAGCTGATAATTAAAGATTCCGAGAGGAGCAATGTATATATTAATTTAATAATTAGGTACTTCCGCTATATGTGTTTTGGTACATGCAGTCGTCAAAAGAAAAAAATTCACTGTCGTTTTCAAAAATTAGAATTCTTTTTGGTGACGAGGACCTTTTTTACCATACCATTTTATCAGTTGGCATGTAAGAAAACCACACGCTCTACGCTTTACCGTTATGTGTGACAATGGTTCTATTGAGGTATGGAGATTTCCGATTACTACGTGCAACAGCCCTTATTTATTGGTAGGTTAAATTGTATTTAATTGCTATAATGATGTGTGTGCATGTCATTATACCGGGTAACGATGCTAGTGGGTTGCGGGTAAAATTGTTGCAGGATGTTGGGTTTTGCGTTAAAACCGAGTAAAATTGTGTGTAGGTTTTGGGTAAATTTGATGTAGGTTGATGGATTTTGCATTCAAAACCAGATAAAGACATAAGTATATAACGGGTAAAATTGTGTGAGTTTTTCTTACAAAAACCGGGTAAAGATGCTAGTGGGTAGCGAGTTAAATTTATGTGAGTGATGGGTTTTGCGTTTAAAACCGGATTAAATTAATATCAGATTCTGGTATAATGCTAGGAAAAATCTGTAAAGATGATGGGTTTTGCTTTCAAAATCGGGTAAAGATGTTAATGAGTTTCGGGTAGAATGTATGTGGGAGATGGGTTTGGCTTTTAAAACAGGGTAAAGGTGTTACCAGGTGCAAAGGAAAATTTATTGTAAGAGAATGATAGGTTTTGTTGTGTATAGTATTACAGGAAATTGAAATGATTCAAAACAGCAACTATTCACAGAAGAATTAAAGATAAATAAAGAATAATATATGGAAAAATAATTAGTAAAATGTATAAATTACATCTAATATAGAGATGCAATAACCGTCTAGCTCAATAATATACAGAGTATGAAAATATGACCTAACAAAAAATAAAATGTAATACTAGTAGGACATAAGATAATAATAATTACGAAAACTATCAGGATAGTAAATAATTTATAATTTAAATTGTATACATAGTGTATGTTATGTATTATTTTCTTAAAAGGGAAATTTAAAAAAAAGAAATGGAAAAAGAATAAAATGAATATTTAAAAAAATGTATTGAGTTTTAAATTTTAAAAACATTTAAATAAAATTATTTTTTGACGTACTTAATGAAACATTTATACCATCAAAATTATTCTTAAAAATACATTTACAAATTACTTTTTGGTTAATTTTGAAATTTTATTTTCAATGTTAAAAAAGTGGAAAACGCTCTGCTGTATAGCTGTAATGCATTAATTTTGAATTCAATGATACAAAAATCATTATATACGAATATAATAACATACCTACCCTACAAGTTAGGTGAGTAACTTTAGCTAAGTACCCACGGGCCAAGAATAATATTTTTAAATTACACCAAAATAACTAGAATTGTTATTCTATTGATTACAGAATACATCAATAATTATGTGGGACCCTGTTTTAAATTTTCAATTCTAAGCTATAAAAATAGAACATTTCATTCATGTTTAACTACAAGAAAAATTTTCAATTTGATATATGTTGTGAAAATTGAACTTTAAATACTTATAAAACAAAATTAGATTTCGAAACAATGTTTGAAGCGCTTTCTGTTAATTTTTAAGATTTTTGACCCAACAAATACAATTTTATTGACATTTTCATGTAAAAAATCTAAAAAAATAGAAAACCCAAAAGTGAACACCTTAAAACAAGTTAAAATATTTTTTAAATTATTATCAAGTGTAATAAATGATGAAATAAACAATTTGGTGTAAATTGAAAGTATCTTAAGTTATTCATTTTTGAATTACAAAAAAATAAAAAAATTGTTGGGTGAAAATCGAATAAATATCAAATGTTTTAAAAAATTGAACTTCAAACTCTTATGAAAATTTAATATTTGATTTTCCAGTACATATGATAAAAACATGATGTATTTTTTGATAAAGGTAGACAAACTTATGAGGAATCTTGTATTAAATTGTTAAATATTAATTAAATGTTTATTGACCAAGCGAACATTTTGGTTATCAACATTAGTTTAAAAAAAAGTAATAATCGAAAATTTCATATGCTTATTAACTGCTCAATAGGAGTCAAAATATTTTGAAAATGCATAGTGTATATAAAAGCTAGTATGTACATTCGGTTAATCTACGGTCATTTGTTCATTAAATGGTTAGAGAAATCTAAAACCAAATTCGATTTTGTCGAAAAAAATGTTGAATTCCCTTTTGTAAATTACTTAGCATTTTAAATTTTAACCTACCGAATGGACTAGCTAGATGCATTCCTCCCCCCCCCCTCAAGAAAAAATACAGAAGTTAAAAATTGAAACTTTGATTATTTGTCTTATCAATACACCGACACAAATAATAAAATTAAAAAAAAAAACCCCGTTTGTTAAACCAATACATTTATTGCTCCGCTCAGAATCTAAGTATAATATGTAATATATTGTTGAACTGTACTTTCAGCGAAAACATATATAAATTATATTATGAAAAAATATTCATAACAAAAATTATTTAATTTGTCAAGTCATTAGGTATATGTGACACCTTGTTTATTATATATGTAAATAATCTGAAATGATAGGTTTCAATGTATTGTATTGTGTTGTGAGTAATACGATTTGAGCTGTTGTAATTATTAATTTAAAGTTTAATCGAGGGTTTTTTTATGGTGTCTTAAAATAAAATAAAACTCACTTGCGATACAATAGCTATGTTATAATCTTATTTTTTAAATAAGTAAGTGATTTGGTGGGAGGCAGTACAACTTAAAAAAAAGCGATTAAGTGGATGTCGCTCTGTTGTGCATTAGGTGTCAGGAGGTCGCTGTAATGGATGTATTAAATTTGAATTCAATGATATCAAATCATTGTATACGAAAAACGATTCTGAGCGGTGACGGTATATCAGCTTAGAATATTTTATATTGTTATCACTTATAATTAATATAATAATATGGTAGCCGAAATTTGAATTAATATTATTCTTAAATCATCAGTGATGCTGGAAAAATATTAAATATACCTGCGTAAAATTTGCTTTTTTAT